ACAGGGGGCTTGACTACGGGGCTAAGGCCCGGGTCCAAACAGCAGCTCTGGTAGGACACATGCTCATCTCCTGCAAGAGCACCAAAATTGCAACTCTGCTAAACAACCATAGATAGAAGGACACTGGAACCCACCAAGAAAAAGATACCACACATCCAAAGACAAGAAGAAGCTACATCTAGATGGTAGGAGGGGTGCAATCATGATAAAATCAAATCCTATACCTGTTGGGTCAGCGACCCACAAACTGAAGAACAATATACCAAAGAAGTTCTCCCACTGTTATGACAGTTCTGAGCCCCACATCAGTCTGGGGATCCAACAAAGGGACTGGGACCCCCAGGGAATCTGACCTTGAAGGCCAGTGGGATTTGATTATATGACTTCCACAGGACTGAGGGAAGAAGACTCTAGTCTTGGAGGGCACAAACAAAATCTTGCACGTACCAAGACCCAGAGGAAAGGAGCAGTGACCCCACAGGAGACTGAAACAAAACCACCTGCTAGTGTTGAAGGGTGCCCTGTGGAGGCGAGGGTCAGCAGGGGCTCACAGTGGGGATGGGCCACTGACAGCAGCAGTCCTGGAAGGGGCCCCTTAGCATAAGCCTCTTGGAAGTATGCCATTAAGCTGCCCATAGAGCCCACAGACCCCAGGGCTGGGTTGCCTCAGGCTAAACAACTACCAGGGAGGGAGTACAATCCTACCCATCAGCAGATAATTGGATTAAAGCTTAATTGGGCTTCCTTGGTGGCTTAGAAGGTAAAGCATCTGCCTGCAATGCAGGAAACCGGTTCAATCCCTGGGTAAGGAAGATCCCCCGGAGAAGGGACTGGCAATCCACTCCACTACTCTTGCCTGGAAAATTCCATGGACTGAGGAGCCTGGTAGGCTACAGTCCATGGGGTCTCAAAGAGTCAGACACAACTGAGCGACTTCACTTTCACTTTTCGTCCCACCAGGGCAAGACCCAGTTTTTCCCACCATCAGTCGCTCCCACCAGGAAGCTTACACAAGCCTCTTAGCCTCTTCCATCAGAGGGCAGACATAAGAAGCAAGAAGAACCACTATCGGCTAGAACAAAAACCACATTTCAGAAAGTTAATCAGGATGAAAAAGCAGAAAGTAATGCCCCAGATGAAGGGACAAGATAAAACCCCAGAAAAACAACTAAATGCAGACAGGCAACCTTTCAGAAAATTCAGAATAAAGATAGTAAAGATGATCCAGAATCTCGGGAAAACAATGGAGAAGGTGCAATAAATGTTTACCAAAGAACTACAAGAACTAAAGAACAAACAGTGACAAGTAATACACTAGAAGGAATCAATAGCAGAATAATGTTCCTTACTCTGTAAACAAGGTCCCCACAATCCTCATAGATATATCACACCAGCTCAAAAAGGAAAAAAGAAAGTGAAATCTTAGTTAACTGATTATCTCATTTAAACACAAGTGTGTTTAACTCTTAAAGAGGTGGACTTCAGTGCTCAGAAGGCCAACATTTGGTCCTCTGGAAACTGGAAACCATATTAGGAGCAGATTCTTGTTCATCCTGAGTTCAGAAATGAGGATGGTACTAGGAACAGAAAAGTGAAAGTGAAAGTTGGAGCTTCCCTGGTGGCTCAGATGGTAAAGCATCTCCCACAGTGCGGGAGACCCAGGTTTGATCCCTGGGCTGGGAAGATCTCCTGGAGAAGGAAATGGCACCCCACTCCAGGAACAGGAGGGTAACTCAAACACTGGTGAGGACTTCCCTGGTGATTCAGTGGCTAAGACTCCAAGTTCCCAGTGCAGGGGACCCAGGTTCAATCCCTGGTCAGGGAACTAGATCCCGCATGCTGCAACTAAGACCCAGTGCAGCTAAATAATTTACAAAAAAAAACCTGTTTGTTGTATAAATATCAGAGGTGCTTTTCTGTGGGAGCCACCTGCCCTTGGCCCTCTGCCCTCCTGTCAGGTGAGTCTTGCTGTCAGCTCAGACTGCCCCGGGGAGAGATATCCTGGTCACTCTCCTCATCTGTGATTATATAATAGAGAATTCCTTCTTCGAAGGATCGCTGCAGGGACAGCGTCTGTGAATGTGCCTGTCTGTTTCCTTCCTCCCTTTGTGTGGACAGTGAGGGAGAGACCCGTAATGGCACAGCTCTTGCAGATCTCAGAGGGTCTGCAAGTTCATGTTCTCAACTGTTCCTCCACAGCACAGAGGTCAGAGTATTACCAGGATTATTACATAGCACCAGTGGAAATGCCAATGTCTTCATTTAACTTTTGGTTTATTCATTTTGTTTTAAAAATGAATGTTGGGGACCTCCCTGGTGGTCTAGTGGTAAAGAACCCACCTGCCAACACAGGAACACAGGTTCGCTCCCTGGTGCAGGGAAATTCCTCATGCCCCAGGGGCAACTAAGCCTTTGCACCACAGATATTGAAGCCCACCTGCCCTAGAGCACATGCTCCGCAACAAGAGGAGCCACCAAAATGAGAAGCCCGCACCATGTACTGCAACTAGAGACAGCCCGAGTGCAGCAATGCAGACCCAGCACAGCCAAAACTAAAAAATAAATAAGTAAATTATTAAAATGAACGTCAGGGGAGTTATTCCTTAATGGATAGTCTCAGTTTGGCATGATGAAAAAGTTCTGCAGATGGATGGTGGAGATGTGTGCACAGAGCTATGAATGTCCTGGAGACCACTGAGCTGTTCGCCTAAAAATGGCTAAAATGGTAGTTTTATGCCATGTATATTTTACAATTTTAACTGTTAAGGCCACAGTAAGTTGCAAAGTACACAATCGTGATGGTACAAACCGTGAGCCAGAGGGGAGGCCAGGGGTCCGAGGAAGAGAGGGAAAGGAAGGGCTGGAGCTGGGACCCTAGGAAAGGACCGAGAAGGGAAGGGTGGGAAGCCTCAGGAAGAGAAGAGGCCCTTAGATGTGGGCCAGAAGGGGGAGGGCCTGTGGGGAGGGGAGGGAAATCCCAGGCAGAAGGGAGTTCCAGCTGGCAGGCTGCAGGCTGTCTTCTCAGTAATTGAAGTCTCAGAGTGTCTAGTGCATGCATTCCTCCACAGCCCCCAGGCCAAAAGTCAGCAGACAAGGGCTGGGCCTTAATTTGGGGCATCTAATCTTTCGATCAGGCGTCCCTGGTTGACTGAGTAGGCCCCATTCTGCCAGTGCAGAAGAACCCCTAGAGAAGGCAACGGCAATCCACTTCTTGCCTGGAGAATCCCATGGACAGGGGAGCCTGGTGGGCTTTGGTCAGGGGTTGCAGAGTTGGACACAACTTAGTGACTAAACAACAAATCTTTCAATCTGTCCCTTACATCAAGACACTCAGACACACAGGCCCTATCCTAGTTAACAGTGGTGGGCCAAGCTCAACCGAGGCTATGAGGCCAACCTAAGAATCATATGACACCAAGTCCTGTGGATCTACCTGCAGGACCCCAGCACTGCCTATCATCTCTGAAGTCTAGCCTTTGCCCTCAGCTACTGGGAAGCGATCTCTAGGCCTCTGGAATGTCCTGATAGGAGTCTTTGTTAGTCTGGGGACTTCAGATGTGAGCTTATGACAAGGGCATTGTGAAAAGGGGGGGCCTCTGGAGGGGCTGGAGACTAAAGGTATTAGCCAGAACCTCCCGGAGAGGCTGGAGAACAAACACTAGCCACAGGGGCCTCTGTGATTAAGCCTCAAGAACAACTCTGGACAGTGAAGGGTCTGGTGAGCCTCCCTGCTTGGCCATACTGTGTGTGTGGGTTGGGCAGAAGGTCTGTGTTCAGGGCTCCACTGGACTCCTCTCAACTGGGAAAGGACCACCAGACGACCCCAGATCAGCCAATCCCAGATGAGCCCAGTGCTTGCGTCCTTGGTTTGTGAATGTGTATCCTTTCTCTACAGTAAATCTGTAATCTTGGTGCTTCTCAGTTCTGTCTTTCTAGCAAATAACCCACTAAGGATGGTCACAGGGACTCAGAACTCACAGCCGATGTCTGAAATGAGGGCAGTCTTATGGGGACTGCACCTTCTGGTACTGCAGTTTGCCAACTCCTGGCTCCCCCACCCCCGACCACGTGCCTTACTATGACCTTCGTCATCTGCCCACCCCTTGCCAACCAGACTTCACCCTGGTCCTCTCCACCTGTCCCCTCCTCATTCCTCATTCCACCCAGGGCACTGGAATTCTCTTTCCCAGACATCTGTAAGTAAATTCCCTCCCGGATTTCAGACCTTTGATTCAATGTCACCTCCTTAGTGAGGCCTCCTCTAGCCCCCACCCCAAACTCCCTCCATGCCCACATTCCTCTTTGTCTGCTCCACTTTTTCCTCTTTGAACACCATCGCCATGTCCACCAAACTCTAAACTTAACGTATCTCATTTCTTCTCCGTCTCCTCACTAGAGGATAAGCCCTGAAGAGACAGGGATCTTTGCACTGTTTCCTCCTGTAACCTCAGGACCTAAAACAGTTCCTGGCACATGCTGAGTGCACAATAAATCCTTGTCGAATGAAGAACCTGCAGTACTTTTAGAAAACAGGCCACCCCACACCCACCTTTTCTCCCAGAAAGGCCAAGCCTGCAAAACAGGAAAAGTGACCATGCTTGGCTGGAGACCACTGTTGAGGGAGGTTAAAAAAAAAAAAAAAAAAAGAGTCAGCAAGAGTTGAGACCTCCAGGAGAGAGCACCCTGTCCAGGCTAGGGGAGGAGGTAGGGTGCTAGTCTGGCCTGAAACCTCCTGGCTGTTCTGGCATCGGCAGGCCCCTTCCACTCTGGTCCTGATCACTGTGAGGGGGTTCAGCGGGGGAAAAGGGAAGGAGAGAGAAATTCCCGCCATTGACAGCAGGTGGACAGAAGACATGGCCTCAGCAGGCAGGAGTGACTTTTATTTGAAACCAGAAAACACCCTATTTGGGGGTTCATCTGTAACAGTTTAAAAAAAAGAAGAGAGAGAAACCAGAACCCAAAGGGCCTGGGGAGGGGAGGGGAAGGGTAGTGGGCCAAGGTCAGGCCACGTAGGGGAAGTGGAGCAGCAGCCCCTCATGAGGTTGTAGGTTCAGGTGCTCCAGCTCAAGGGAGGTGCCCTCCTCACGGCCTGGCTGGGTGCTGAGCAGCAGATCCACCTTGGCCGGCAGGCTGGTGCCGGTAGGCAGGCTGGAGCCCCCCAGCCTGGCCATTTGGCTCACATCCCCAAAGTTGAGCACTACGAGGAAACGCTCGTTCTGGTCCCACTGGCGGACGTAGGAGAAGAGGTCGGGCCCCGAGGAGAGATTGTAGAAGTCTCCGTGCAGCAGGGAGCGTTCCTTACCCCGCTGATCACTCAGCCGGCGGAACAGGAAAAGGAGGGAGTTAGGGTCCTCACTCTGGCCCTGCAAACGGTAATGAAGTGATAAAGATACTTCAGACAGGGATGAAGCGCTCCCCAGGGAACAAAGTCCTACCAGCCGCCAGCCCCCACCCCTTGCCCATCAGGCCCTGCCCGTGGTAAACACTTACCTTCACAGTCATGCTGATGTTTATAGATGCTGAGTTGTTGGGAAAGCTGGATTCATCCCACAGCATGACCGGGGCCTTCATAGGCTGAAAACCAGGGAAAAGAGGACTTTGAAAAAAACCTGACTCTTCTTCAACTCTTCCCCTCATTTTCAGATTTATAACCTCCTCTACCTTAGGACCTCGCACTGTCCCCTCAGCCTGGAGGGCGCTTCTCCCAGAGAGCCACAGGCCAGTCCCTCACTGCACTCTGATCCCTGCTCAGGGACCTCCCTCAGGGTTTCTGAGGCCACTCGATATAAAATCGACTGTATCCCCTACTCTCAAAGCCCCATACCCTGGTTTCTTCTGCAAAGCACATGTCAGCACCTGGCATCCTTATTATATGTGCTTACCATCTAAATTCACCACCTCCAGCTCTTTTGTGTACTGCTGTATCCTCTGTGCATAGCACACAGGAATTACCCCATCAGTTCTGTGGAATAAGTGAATAATGGGTTTTATAGATGGGCTTCCCAGGTGGCACTAGTGGTAAAGAACCCGCCTGACAATGCAGGAGACATAAGAGATGCAGGTTCAATTCCTGGGTTGGGAAGATCCCCTGGTGGAGGGCACGGCAACCCACTCTAATATTCTTGCCTGGAGAATCGCTATGGAGAGAGGAGGCTGGCGGGCTATAGTACACAGGGTTGTAGAGTCAGACACGACTGAAGCAACTTAGCACACGCATACAAGGGTTTTATAAATATCAGCTCAATGTCAACCTCCAACCTTGTGGCTAAAGCCACGTGGGAGCCTTCATGGTCTTACCCCACCTCGGCTCTCACTGTGTATATCTGGTCCCCTACAAAGCTCTGAGTTCCTGGACAGCACAGGGCCTAACCAAGAGTGGCCAGTGGCCAGTGAATGAACAAATTACTAAGTAACGGCTACCATACTGAACTCCTACCAGGGAGCAGGCACTGCATTTTAAATATGCCTTGTTTCAGTCATAACTACTCTGCGTGTGTTAGTCGCTCAGTCGTGTCCGACTCTTTGTGACCCCATGGACTATAGCCCACCAGGCTCCTCTGTCCATGAGATTCTCCAGTCAAGAATCCTGGAGTGGGTTGCCATTTCCTTCTCCATACTACTGTATAAGAAATGCAATTATCACAGAAAAAATGATTAAGAGTCAGAGAGAGAAAATAACTTGCCAAGGCCACACAGCGACTGACCAGGGGGCTGACGAGCAAACAAGCTTTCCTTCCCAAGGCTCATGGTCTGTCCGCCGCCAGCCACAGAACCACTGTGATGGACGAACACAACCTCTCCCATCGTGCTGGGCAGGCAGCACGCATTACCTGTCCAGGAAGGCCGGCTCCCTCCAGGCCAATCTCGTCTCCATAGCTGAACACTGGGGTCCCCGGCAGGGTGAAGAGCAGCAGCTGGTAGAGTCGGAGGAGTTGGGGCGACACAAAGGAAGTCAGGAGCCCCGCCTGAGACCCCTGCAGGAATGCACACACCTGTGAGCCCCAGAACCCACTCCTGCCTCTGCCCCCCAATACCCTCTCTTCCAAAAGGCCTCCCGCCCCTCTCCCACCACTGTGGTACGCACACTCCAGCTGCACCAGCGGCTGCCAAAGGCGCTCAGATACTCGGTGACCAGGAGACTTGTATGACCCCCAGTTAAGTTGGAGTGTGACAGGTAAGAGCTAGTCAACAACAGGTCCTTGGTGGGTTCGAGCAGGCTCAGGATCTGCTGAAGGTCGGAGGAGTCTGTGCCTGTAATCAAGAGCCTGCACAGAACAGAGTGGGTGTGAAGGTTAGTACCGGACAAGAAAGGAGAATGGAGGCGAAGAAGGTTCTCTGGGCTAGGAACTCCCCCCTCTCCTGGAGCTCACACTCCACTGGGGGGTTCCCAGAGTGGAGCTGAATTGGGGAGGCTGGGGTCTGGCACCCACCGATCCTCACTGACGCTCTTAGTGATGTTCTGCCACTCAGCCAAGAATGAAGACGCATTCTAAAAAGAAAAGAGCAGAGTCGTGAGGAAGGGAAGGCTATCGGGCCCTGGCAAGACTTTTGTTCTCACATGGAAAGGGTACTCACTGTCAGATTCTGCACGTCCCGGACCTGAAACCCGTCCACACCAGTCTCCAGCCAAAACTTCAGAGCTTCCTATCGGGAGAAAGGCAGAAGTACAGAGGAAAGCTATCACTGCTGATGGAAAGGCTCAGAAGATTCCAGCCCACATTAAACCCTGCCTACCCTATACTTCCCCGTGACCTCAGGAGAGGCATTTGCCTTGAACAGTCTCACTTTCTTGCCTCTACTATAAAGCTTTAGCCTTCAGTTCCCCTTTCATTCTAACCCATCACTAATCCTTAGTGATACAGTGCTCTTCTCTACTCCTCCCCATGGTAAATTGCAAAGCTTTAACACCTACAGAAAAGGCCTACACGCTAAATGTTAACTTCCTTCAACACTTAGCATATATAGAATGTTGATATACTCATTTTACAGATAAGGAAGAGAAGTAAGGAGGCATGCCCAAGGCCACAATCAGAGAGCAACAGTGAAGGGACATAAAATGCAAACCAAGATCCCAAGATGAGTATACTTACTCCTCTCCCAGTTTCTTGGAGCCTGGGGAGGGTCTAAGTAAAAGAGCCACTCAGAACAAGACTCAGGATAAAAGCCAAATATTCAAAGCACAGCCCCAGGGCAGTTTACCCAATGATTTGAAAAGAAAAGCCAGCTCTGCAGAATAGGCCCAGGCTTGAAGCACTGGCATTCATGCGGCACGTGACACGAGCCCCCACCCCGCCCTCTCTTCTGGGTGCTCTCTCTGCTCCCTGCGTTTTCTTCTGGTCTCCATCTTCATCTGAGGCTACCATACTTCACGCCTTAACATCTAAAAACGTTCTCTTCTCAGTAACTTTTAAAGGGTCTTCTAGCAAGTGGCAAGGAATGAACCAAATGACCCCAAAGGTCAACTGAAATGCTGGGAGTACAGAATTCTACCTCAGAATCCTGGCCGCCAGTAGAGGGTCAGTCTGCCTCCATTTTTGTTCTACCCCTTCTGAACTGGTCAGTGCCCTAGAACCCAGGCATTAGGAGCTGGGATGACTTTCAAAACCCCACCCCCAGTCTACAGGGTACAGAGTTTGAGCCTTATACCTTCAGAGAAGGCAGATTTGAGATTTAAGATTAGTTGGGACCTTCAATCCCAGGGCATATTAAAGCCCCTCTGAACCTTAGCTTCCTCACTTACAGACTTGGGATATGGGTAGGAACCTTGTTTGGTTATAGAGGATTAAAGAAGGTATATAAAAACATTCGGCATATTCCCAGACACATAGGAAGACCCCAATGCTTACAATTTCAGACTGGGCTACCTTCCAAAACACATCAAATAAGAAATGGGAAACCAGACAGGACAGGATTCCCACAGAGAAAGGGCTTCCTCTGCCAAAAAGAAGAAAATTCACATCTGAAAAATTCCATCCTGGCACTGTCACCCTCAGAGTCAGGGAAACAAGTGGCCAGAAAAGGAACAAACAAAAAGAGGGATGTACTGCTTGCCTATCCTTCTGCCTGTGGGAAAAGCGTGCCTGCTGGGCTACAAGGAGCCCGGGGCCCCTCGGGTGGTGCCAGGCTTCATTTATAGAACTCACTATGAAAGGACCAAACAGCCCCAGAATCTGGCTCCCACCTGCCATCAGCACCAACACACTCACCTTCATTTTGGTGGCCACAGTGTCAATCTGAGTGGATTGAAACCAAGGGCTCTGGCCCTTGTAGTTGGGAGTGAGGTCCAGGATGACCTGGATGCCTAGAACAAAGGAGGAAGAGGTGGTTGATAGAAAGACTTTGGGAGAAGGGAAAAGGAAGAAATCAACAAATACAGGTCGACAGAATACTCCCTATGTATTGGTACAAAAGCTTAGATTTGAACCCTGGTGTAACTCATTTCATTGAAACAAAGATATGGGCAAGTATGGGGGGAGCCGGGTGGTGTTGGGAGGGAGCAGTGTAACAGAGAAGGCTAAGCTACGAAGCCCTGGCCCTGTCATGCCCAAAGTGAACTTTTTTCAAAGTAAGAAAGATTTTTACTTGAATTTTTTTTCCTCCAAAGGATCTACTCTTAAGTTTTACAACCACTGATTTAGCAAAAGCCTACATTTTGCAAATAAGGGCACTGAAGCCCAGAAGCTATTAAATAACTGTACATCCAAGTATACGAAGTCTCTGAATCACCTGACAAATTCACTTTAAGTTGAAGCCTAACGAACCTCCCCTGGATTTGCCCTAGGAAAACTGTGAGCCAGTCAGCAATAAACCAGACAAAAGTCCTCTCCGGCCTTTTCCGTGGCCAGAAGCCCAAGTCCTCTCTAGCTGCTGCTTTGCAAGTTCTAGGACACCCACCCTTCTTCTTCGCCGAGTGCAGGAGACTCTCAAAATCTTCCTGGGAGCCAAAAATGGGGTCGATCTGTTCCAAGTTGGTCTCTGTGAGGTCATCCTCCTGGTTCTTATGAATTGGGCCCAACACAAAACCCTTCACCTTCAGCGTGCTTAAGTAATCCAGCCGCTCCTTTAGGCCTGAAATGGAGAAGCAAAGTTCCAGTGAGGCCTCGCCTAGGCCCCTATCACCGGTATGAGGCTGGATCACCAGACTGAGACGCTGACGTAAGGCGGCTAGCAAGTTGCTTCAGAAACACGCTGCGACAGGCTAAGAGCGCCGGGAGGGGGAGGGGAGCCTGCTGAGTCGGCCACCCTCAGGAAAGAGCGAGTGGGGGGCAGCTTCCTTCAAAGAAAGCAACGTCTCGGGAAGCGGTCGCCGGTACCGAGTAGAGTAGAGAACCGTCTGAGTCAATCTGGGAACAGAGGTCGAAGCTGGCGACCATTTAAACTAAGGGCCCATGGGGTGGGAGCGGGGGACGTGCGGGGAGGGAGATGGGGGCGCCCAGACTCACCCGCTAGGTTGCCCGCATCATGGCCCAGGAAGGCCCGAAGGTCTCCAATGCGGTAGAGGGCGCCCTTGTGCCACCATCTCTGCTCCGGCAGCTCGCGGCAGCGAGGCGCCTGCACGATGATGACCACGGCGCCGGCCAGCATGCCCAGCCAGCCGAGCCAGAAGAGCAGCAGCAGCGCCCAGCGGGTGCGTACCCAGGCGGGGCTGCCCGCCACCTTCAGCAGCTCCTCTTTAGACAGGCCCGTGAACTTGGCGTCGGCCGCCGCGTCTGCCTCGTCGTCGGCCACCTTGATCTTCACCAGACCATTCTTCTCGGTGCCGCCCGCCACGACCACGGCCATCGCCGCCCCAGACGCCGCGTTCATCGGCTGCTTCTCGGGTTCCAGCTCGTTCAGTTCCACTTCCTTCATGTCCACCTCGGTGTCCTGGCTCATGATGCCTGCGGAAACGGAGACACGACGCGGTCTGCGGTCAGCTAGTAGCTGGACACCTGCCCGGATCTCCTGGCCCCAGAACAGACTCCCAGGCTTCCGTGTCTCCCCTTAGGTTCCCCAACCGAGTCTGCGGCGCGGCGGGGCGCGGCCTCCGGGCCAGAGTAAGGGAGCCCCGCCCCGGCCCGCCCCTGCTCGTCCCTTAAAGTGGAACCTCCTGGGTTGCTCTTTCAGGGACTGAAAGGGTGGGCGGCGGCCGAGGTAGTAACGTTGAGAACTCAACTCCGATGGCTGCTTGAATCAATTCCCCTGGTCTGTTTCCTCATCTGGAACCTTCTAGCCCTAACGTTCGGACATTCAGAAGGCTGAGCACGGAGCCACCTTTAGGCGGGCGGAGTCTGTAATCTGTCCCGCCCCGTGCCCCCGCTGGTCCCTCCCGCCGCCGCCTAAGTGAGCGTAAAGGGGATATCCAGAACTGCTGGGGTTCCGAGGCTCTTCTTCGCCCACCGGGCAGTTTGTGACTTCCCGGGACACCATCTTCCATTTGCCCTGGCCACTTGAACTGAGTCAACGAAACTCAACTCAGCCCTTTCCCTCACCGGGCCTTGTCTTCTCAGGCCTCTGGGACTTGACACTGGACACCCGCTTTCCCGCAGGGCTTACTCCCACTCTTTCAAGATATCTTGAGTGTAGTTCAATTAATTCATCATGCAGCAACTATTTACTGAGTGCCCATGCAATAGTGTGCTTCATTAACTTTAGTGAATTAACCCTAATCTAGTCTTCTTCATGATATTTTCTGATGAATCTGTTTGGACAGAATTGCTGACATTCCCCATTTTACCCTACCCCGCCCCCACTTTCTGGCGCCAGGATGTCGGGCAGCTAGGAATCCGACATCCAGAAGAGACTGATGGATAATCTTGGGACTGACAACATGCAGGGGCTGGGCCTCTGTTGGAGGCATCCATCTTCTCACTACAGATCAGAAGGTGCCAGGGCCAGACTGTTCCCCACTTTGCAGGGCCTCCTGCAGATTAGTCCAGTGCCCCCCCCCCCAGAAGCCAGAGTTCCGTTACCTCCCAGTCCCTTCTCTGTGCTAGGCCTTGGAGGCAGCTGGTACTGCCGAGGTCATGTTGGCATGTGGCCAGGAACCTTGGACTTGCGTGTTGTTCAGTCACTCGGTCATCTGACTCTTTAAGACCCCATGGACTGCAGCATGCCAGGCTCCCCTGTCCTTCACTACCTTTAGCCCAAACTCATGTCCATTGAGTCAGTGATGCCACCCCACCATCTCATCCTCTGTCGCCCCTTCTCGTCCTGCCTTCAATCTTTCCCAGCATCAGAGTTTTTTCAGCGAGTCAGCTCTTCGCATCAGATGGCCCAAGTATTGCAAAGACCTTGAAGACCATCCAACTTCTCCCCACAGAGGACCCTGGATTGAGAGTGAGACGAGGTTCAGCCGGACATCAACACCATGAAGTGCCAACACTCTCAGGAACTTCTTGTTCCTAAGCAGCGCCAGCTGGGTTATTTTCAGAGAGGACCTGAAGGAAGTAAATTCTTTCTCCCTCTCCCACCCGGGCTGGAAGCCAAGATAGCTGTATATTTGGAAGAAAACAGAAACCAAGATCTGAAGAAATAGAAGAGGCACCAAAGGAGAGCAGAGACAGTGAAAACGCTCACCCTCTGCCCTTCCCCTTCAATCCTCTCCCCTCTTCATACCAGACTCATCCCCATCCCCCACCGCAAGCAAGCGGGTAGAGGCTGGAGTTCAGACCTGTGTTCAATGATGATAGCAAGTCCAAGGTGCCCTGGCCATATGCCAAATAAGTGCCAACCAGGGCCCCTGATCAGACTATGAAAGCTCAAAGTTGAAAGCTCAAAGTTAAGAACTGTCAGGTCAGACACTCTCTTTGAGATGTTTCAAGGTAACACTCCCATACATACACACAGCATCTGACTCACAGTCCCCCACAGCTCCAGAAAGATGAAACCAATCCCCCCTGCATTCAGTAAAGAAGCCTAACAACTTGCCTCCCCACATTTATCACCCACCACACCTGTCACAGGGACCACCCTCCAACAACATCAGCCTTCAAACACCTGTTAGTCCTGCCTCATTACCAGCTAGGTCAGGCCTCTGCATCTTTGTTAACGTCATCCCCTATGTGTTTGACATTCCTTTTCTGCCTCATAAACTCCAAGTCATTCCAAACCTAGCTCAAATGACAGCTTCTCTCAAATCCCCAAAAAGAATCACTTTCCATCTACTGGGCACCTATCTTCTTCAATTCACATCCTATTTATTACTTTTCCTTGTCTGAGTGTCAGCACTTCAAGACAAGTGGCAGAGCCTTGTGCTACTTGTTGATGAACCTGCCTGCTCAGAAGTATGCACTTTATAAGTGTGTGGTAAATAAGTGCTATTATCATTAAAACGCGGTATTTCCCTTCTTAGAAGCAACTCAACAAAAGTAGTATGTATTTAAAAAGAAACGTGCACCTCAATGTTCACAGCAGCATTTACAATTGTAAAGATATGGAAGGTATCCTTCAACAGACAAATGGATAAAAGAAGATATAGTATATATATGGAATACTACTTAGCCATAAGAAAGAAGGAACTTTTGCCATTTGCAGGAACACAGATGGACTTTGAGGGCATTATACTAAGTGAAATATCTTTCTCAGACAGAGAAAGATACATGATGTATGATATCACTTATATGTGGAGTCTAAAAAAAAATACAACAAACTAGTAAATTTAACAAAAAAGCAGCAGACTCGGATATAGAGAACAAACTAGTGGTTACCAGTGTGTGTGGGGGGGGGGGTACTCTATAGGGGTGAGAGACCAGGAAGTACAAACTACTGGATATAAAATAGGTTCAAAGATGTATATAACATGGAGAATATAGCCAATATTTGGTAATAACTGTAAATGGAAAGTAACATTTAAAATTGTATTTAAAATTTAATTAAAAAATTACAGGAAAAAAAGTGAAAAGGAATTTAAACACTGTATGGTATCAAAAGGAAGCTGTTTATGCAGGAAAACAAACCAAGACTTATAACTGTTCAACTAAATAAAACAAAGTAATAAATCTGGTTGAAGGGGAAGACAAAAAAGGAACAGAGCAAGACAGCAGAGAAAGAGGGCTGAAGGTGGCTAGGGATCCTACAATCCTACAGTGTATGTTGCTAAATACAGAACTTAATATTTACTATAGAATTCAAAGTATATAATTTGTTCAAGAAGAATTTAGCCTCTTGGCTAAATTCTAAAAAATTAGCCTCTTGGCTAAAAGGAAAAAAGTAGTTCAAGAGTCCAGAGCCAATAAGAACAGATTCAGTTCAATTCAGGTCAGTTCAGTCGCTCAGTTGTGTCCAACTCTTTGTGACCCCATGAATCGCATCACGCCAGGCATCCCTGTCCATCACAAATTCCTGGAGTTTACTCAAACTCATGTCCATCGAGTCGATCCAGCCATCTCATCCTCTGTCGTCCCCTTCTCCTCCTGCCCCCAATCCCTCCCAGCATCAGGGTCTTTTCCAATGAGTCAACTCTTCGCATGAGGTGGCCAAAGTATTGGAGTTTCAGCTTCAGCATCAGTCCTTCCAATGAACACCCAGGACTTATCTCCTTCAGGATGGACTGGTTGGATCTCCTTGCAGTCCAAGGGACTCTCAAGAGTCTTCAACACCACAGTTCTAAAGCATCAATTTTTCGGTGCTCAGCTTTCTTCACAGTCCAACTCTCACATCCATACATGACCACTGGAAAAACCATAGCCTTGACCAGACGAACCTTTGTTGGCAAAGTAATGTCTCTGCTTTTTAATACGCTATCTAGGTTGGTCATAACTTTCCTTCCAAGGAGTAAGCGTCTTTTAATTTCATGGCTGCAGTCACCATATATTAATGAGGTCATTCAAGTCTTCAGGACTTTACACTCATTCAAGCAAATTGTGGGGGTGCAGGGCAGTTGGGGCCCTGAAGTTCAGAGGGCTAAGTCCACAGAAAAAGTTCCTTTCTAATCCCCTGTTGCAAAAATTTATGTCCCATGTTTCTCAACAGGTGAGGATTACTTGATCTTAGCCAAAGATATGGAAGTTTTCCCTCTTCAGTGTGTTAAAAAAAAAGATTTCCAAAAACAGAGCAAAGATGGGAAAATAGTTAGAAACTTAGGAGACTGTCCAACAGACTCTGCAACACTACCAAAGCTGAAGGTATAATTTCAAAGACCCAGGAAAAAAGCATCCAGGCTCTACCTCTAAACTACCCATCAGCCTTGAGGAGTTTAGCCATTCGAAAACTGGATGATGGCTGAAGTTAAGGAACTGAGCACTTGGAAGTCAAAGTGCCGCCGAGATGAAAGCAGAGAAGGAACGTGACCCCAACCAAAGGGGCGCACTTGCATGCTCACTTCAGCAGCACATATACCAAAGGGGTGTGCTTACGTGCTCGCCTTGGCAGCACATATACCAAAGGGGCGCACTTAGAAGCAGTGTTGGAATATTATTTGTTATTACAAGTCTTGCAGGAGGGACACTGGCTGGTGAAGAGAACTGTCAGAGTTGTCTTACTTAAGGGTGAGGAATATGAGTGGGGTAAAAGCCAGAAAGAACAAAGGAAAAACAACCAAAGCCTTGTTGCAGAAGAGAAATGAATGCACCATCAGGAAAGTATCTCATACTCAAATAAACTGAACAACACTGAAGCAAGTCATTCTCTCTAATGCAACCAAATATTAAAAGAGAAACACCAGAAATACAGATCAATTTATGGACGAGATAGAGAAGTTATTACTCTTGGATAGATGACATCAGATATTCAACTGATCAGAGAGAATACTGATCTCATCAAAAGGCTAACTGGTAATAAGAGATTAAATGATTCCTTAAATGAACACTGAAGTACTCCGACACCAGCTCTTTCTGCAGCCCTGGTCACACAATACTGGGGGGTATTGTCAGTTTCCCCATCTCCTGTGCTCTTCAAAACT